CCAGGATCATGACCTGAGCCGAAGGCAGTCGCTTAACCAACTGAGCCACCCAGGCGCCCCAGCAGTTTTTTCTTTTATGGATCATGCTTTGGTGCTCACTGCCAGATCCAAGGTGATGTGGATTTTTTTTTTCCTGTTTTCTTCTGAAAGTTTTATAGTTTTGCCTTTTACATATAGGTGTCAGATTGATTTTGAGTTAACTTTTGTGAAAGATATAGGAACAGTGTGTTGATTCATTTCTTTTGCATGTGGATGTCCAGTCATTCTAGCACCATTTCTTAAAAAGACTATCCTTTCTCCATTGAATTCCCTTTGCTCCTTTGTTAAGGATCAGCTGCCTCTACTTGTGTGGGTCTATTTTGGGGCTCTAATCTGTTCCGTTGATCTGTTTATCTATTTTTTTGCTGGTATCACACTGTCTTGATTACTGTGGCTGCTTCTTAATTTATGTTTTATAACCTTATACTTCTAAAAAATAGGATTTGAGATAGACTGCAATTTCGGTTATGCTGGAAACAGGACAATTTTTTTTTAAAAGATTTTATTTATTTATTTGAGAGAGAGAGAGAGCACATGAGAGGGGGGGAGGGTCAGAGGGAGAAGCAGACTCCCTGCTGAGCAGGGAGCCCGATGCGGGACTCGATTGCGGGACTCCGGGATCATGACCTGAGCCGAAGGCAGTCGCTTAACCAACTGAGCCACCCAGGGGCCCTGGAAGCAGGACAATTTTAATAAAAAGATAAAAATTGTAAAATATTAAACTATTGATTCTTCTGGCAGTGGGTATATTTCTTCAAAAACTAGAACACACAGAAATATTATGATAGAGCATGGACAGGCCTGAGGACTTCTTCCCTGCTGTCATTTATCTGACAACATTGAAAACTATACCTTAGAAAAATTCCAAGGTTGGATTATTCTTAAATTTTTTTTTTCCTATGAGTTTGTGGTGATTAATTATTTAGTTAGTATGGCAGAGTTAGTTGCGTATAGTTCATTGGAGACACATCTTAATATTTTAGCTATTTTAAGACTCCAACTACCAACAACTGTTTGTTGAAATACACAAGTGTGACCACATTTTTTCTTTTTGAAATTTTTTAGGTCAATGATGCCTTCCTTCATGTGATACAGCGCAAATCCACGGGCAAGGTGCTTATCTCCCTTAAATAAATCCTCACCTCAGCAGCCAACTCAGCTTGTCCAAATCCAAACTCATCATCTTTCCAAAAACCTCATTTCCCTCCTGTGTTTCTAAAGGTGTTACCACTTTCCTTATTAATCCAGGTTCAAAGTCTTTTATTTTTATTTTTTAAGATTTTATTTATTTATTTGACAGAGAGAGACACATGAGAGAGGGAACACAAGTAGGGGGAGTGGGAGAGGGAGAAGCAGGCTTCCCGCGGAGCAGGGAGCCCGATGCGGGACTCGATCCCAGGACTCTGAGATCATGACCTGAGCCGAAGGCAGACGCTTAACCAACTGAGCCACCCAGGTGCCCCTAGGTTCAAAGTCTTTTAAAAGAGTCACCTTTGATTCTGTTTTCTTATTCCTCATAATTAGTGTGACATATACTTTATTGCCCTAACTTGGACGTCTTTGAGAGTGAAAGGATGCTATTAGTAGTTAAACCAGGAAGGCAGGTGTCCCAGGCAAAGCGGGATGTATGGTCATCCTGTTCATAATACACTAGTGGCCAGGTTCTGTCATCCCCACTCTAAGATATCTCTGACCTCCATATCCTCTTTTCCATTCTGCCTAATTATGTCTCATCTGCTAATTCCAGTAATTTCCCAACTGGCTTTCCCACCTTTAAACTACCCCCACTCCTCCATCCTTGTGATGCACTGTTCCCATGGTGACCTTCCCAAAGCACAGCTGTAACTGTGTTTGACTCAAAACCCACAACGGCTGCCCGTTGTCTACTTGGTGGAGTTCAGACTCATTGAGCTGGCATTTCTTTATGTCCTTGTTTTTGCCCCACTCTGCTTTGCAACCTTAGGTTACACGCCGGAGCCCCTCTGTACGCACTTACATTTTCGGCCAACCCGCCTTTGCTCTGCGCAAACAATTACCTCTACTCCCTTATCTCTGTCAAACATAAGCCTTCCTGACCTCCAAGACTGACCTCTGCCATGAGCTTGTGGCCTGAGGAGGGCGGTCATTTCTTCCCTTCCACCTTCCTATAGCTTTTCCCCCAGGATTTGTCACATTCTGCCTTGCACCAAAGGGAGCAGCTGGTCCCTAGAATGAACACAAGATTCTGCATCTATGATGTGGGTTTGAATCCCAGTCTCACCTCACTTTGGAGGTGCTTACTGAAGGTCCTTGAGACTTCCTTTTCTCCCTGTAAAGTGGATATTACAATATCTTCCTCATAATGTTGCCATGAGCAATATGTGCAGTGATTGGGGAAAGTACCTGGTGCATGGTAAGCTATTAGCAAATGCTAGTCACTTTTACTTCTTTCTTTCCTCCTTTCCCAGTATAGCGTAAGTTCCTCGAGAGCAGGTACGATGTCTGATTCACCTTTGTACCTCCC